TAGAGGTGCAGCCACCACTGGTCGTCCAACATGCCCGTGCGGCCAGCGTCCTCGTCTCTCGCACAGTCGATGGTGACGCCCTTGCGCAGCCGTGCGACAGCGTGGAGGCGATGCAGGACGCGTGCGTCATGTTGACCCCCGAGCGGCGCACGGCGTGCGGCCCCGAGCTTTGCCACGTGAGCTCAGGCCCCAGGAGCCCAAAAGCGACGACAGTTACAGGGTTCCGAAGACTCGCTCGGATTTCGAACGTGAGCTGCGGGCCCCTTAGAGCGGAGGCTCCCGCCGAGATTTCCTTGCAATTTACTCAAACGGGGCTCCCAAGAGTGATGACAATTACAGGTTTGAGGATGCCGGCCTCGGATTCTAAACGCGAGTTGCGGGCCCCGTAGGGAGGGGGTTCCCGCGTGCGATTTCCGCGCAATTCGCTCACAAACGAGGCTCCCGCTTGAAACTTCCTCCATACTCAGGCCCCAGGAACTCAACAATGACGACAGGTACACGGTTCTGATGACCCGCTCGGATTTCGAACGTGAGCTGCGGGCCCCATAGAGCGGAGGCTCCCGCTTGAAACTTCCTCGCGATGCAGTCACAGGCGAGGCTCCCGCCTGATATTTCCTTTATATTCAGGCCTCAGGGGCCCGACAATGATGACAGTTACATGTTTTCCGATGACCCGTTCGGATTACGAACATGAGCTGCGGACCCCATACGGCGGAGCCTCCCGCCTGAGAATTCCACGAAATTCAATCGCAGACGAGACTCCCGCCGTATATTTCCTCCATATCAGGCCTCCAGGGCCCAAAAGTGACGACAGTTAAAGCTTTTCCGACGACCCGCTCGGATTACAAACGTTAGCTGCGGGCCCTATAGGGAGTGGGCTCCCGCCTGAGACGCCCCCGCAATTCACTCACAGACGAGGCCGGATATTTCACCCATATTCAGGCCCCAGGAGCCCAACAATGACGACATTTACAGGTTTGAGGACGACCCGCCTCGGATTTTCCCGCCTGAAGCTTCTTCGCGATTCGCTCATAAACGAGGCCCTCGCCCCATACTTGTTCAACATTCAGGCCCCAGGAACCCAAAAGTGAGGATAGTTACAGGGTTCCAATGGCCCGCTTCGGATTTCGAACATGAGCTGCGGCCCCCATAGGGCGGAGGTTCCCGCCTGAAGCTTCCTCGCAACGCACTAACAGAAAAGGCCCCCGCC